CGGCTGAGTGTGGTTTCTGGGGAAGGAGCTTGGTGGCGCCACGCTCACTGCTTGGAGTGTGCGCTACCCTGTAACAGCTCACTGCAAAACAAATGCCGAACGCTAGTTTCACTTTTCACCTTTTCCCATAAAAGTGAAAATCCTCTTCCAATTTCTTTAAGTTAGTGAAAACAGGTACCAACGTGGTGCAATGCAAACTTGCAAAAAGCAGGGGATGCTTGTAATACCATGTTTCCCAGGAGGTGGGAACAACTGATTTTGTTGTTAGTCTACATAAGGTCATTTGATAGAAGGCAACAGCCTTCCCCCTCCACAGAAGTAACTGTGTAGGGGTAGGAGGACAAGATTATGACACCCAGAACTGATTTAAATATATGCACAAACAGTGGCAGGATTCCCTGACTCTACAACGCCTGCCTTACCCCAAGGAACCCTCCGTTTGTCTGGCATTCCAACCCCAGAAATACCGTGTTCTAGTAAGCAACCATTAGGAATACAGGGTTCTGAATGGCTAACATAAGAAGCAGTTGTCATACATGTAAATTTCAGTGGAAGCCAAAAAACAGATTTATTTCTTCCATTTGGCAGGACAAAGGAGCAAGAAATTACGAGTATGGACGTTTTGATGAGGGAAGATAAAGGAATTGAATCATTTTTCAAATAAAAGTCACGCTTGGGTCCTGCAGTGGTCAGTAGGTAGCATGAAGGCCTTGCATACATGGAATTTTAGAAGTTTGGTAAGGTGTAAAACCCTGTAAGGCCAAGTTAGAAAATTTCAATGTTGTCTGTAGAGGACCATGTTCACATCAATCTAGTTCACCAATTCTTTAAGCTTTCAATTTCCTAATGTAAATATGTTCCTTGCAACAATGCCTCACAGATACTGAAGAAAGGAGGCAGTGATCCAGTGGTCTGCTGGTAAATGTTTAACCGCATCTCTATTTGGAGCATTTACTGACCTCCAGCATTTGCCAATTTCTCTGGTGTCTATTTTACCCCCGTCCAGTCCAGTTTCAAACTACTAACATGACAAAACAACTTCAGTAGCATAGATAAAAGTAAAATGTAGTGAAATAATTAGGAGTTTTGAGTTTTTATTACTTTTGTTTTTAACATAATCTGCTTGATTGTAAGTTTCTACTATTTAATTTTTAATAATGTTCTGTTACATTTCTGAAAACTTAACTATCAGTTCTCAAGAGGGCTCCAGAGCATCACTGGGGCATTCCACCTTTCATGTTCCCTTAGATCCTGTTCCCCATTCAACCCAGCACCTTTGTCATTCTCCTTCCCTTGGGTCAGATACGTGCCAATTCCTATAGAAGCGAACCTCATGGACTTGTCCTTTAACAGAACTATTCCTAGGTCTTTCTGAACTTACTTAGGTCATGTTCAAAACTGCAAGCAATAAAATTCCAGCACTGAAAGGAAATAGTACCTTTTGTGAATATAGTATAATTGCCCTAGCATGCAAACATTTCCACATAGATGCCCTCTGTACCCACTGCCAAGTTTGTTATAAAACAGTTATGTCCTGTGATTTCAGTGAGTGGGGAGCATCCTTCAGAGGACACTTACAAATTCCCCAAGAGACTTGGATCTGATTTGTGAAAATATCTGTGATCTCCCTGTGCTTTCGTTGCCCATACAATATGCCATTTTTATGTCTACGTTATTTTACATATCAGTTGCCTCTCTCCGGAATGCACATTTCCCATTCTCTATACTCTCTATACTTTGAAGCTCAACTCAAATGATATCATGTTTGAGAATACTGTCAGTTTAACCAAAGAAAATCAGGCATTCCCTCCCTGTATTCCCAGAGTGCTTTGCATATTTTAGTCATGAGCACAAAGTTTTGTTTTCCCACAAGAAATTCTGAGCTCCTCAAGTTAGGTACCAGGCCCTACATCTTTGTATCTCCTGTGCCTAGAACATAGTAGGTGTTCAGCAAATGCTGGCTATCTTTAGTAATGAAGTTTGCAGATGAATTTGGAATATGAGTAAACACCGTAACCTTAAACACAGCATGCCATCCTTGTCGATAGTAACAGAAGTGGAGCCAACAAAGCATGAGAAGAACTTAATGCCACTGCACTCTATCCCAGTTAGTTGTCGAAACTAGTACCACAACCAGGTCTAAGACCCACATAACAACAGGGACCAGAGGAAGGAATGTGGATGGTGAGAGGTCTAGAAATAGTTCCATGGTGACATCTCACTAGAATATTTTCTAGGGGAATATGTCACCATCTTCCCTTATTTGCTAGTCTGCCTGTTAACTCAGAATTGCAGAATTTGGACAGCCGGCAAAGGTTAAAAGCAAATGTTAAGCTGGACATAGGGTTTCAGCTTAAAATTGAGACCACTTAAGCAAAGAAAGGGGTTGCCTCACAGCTGAGAGTACACCATCCTTAAACTTGGTTCCAGCAGGCCCTCCCTGCCAACCTGAGAAGTGCGCTCACTTCAGAGGGGATGCCTGCACCCAGAGGAGGTGTGCCTGGGTGGCCCACGCACTCCCTTGCAACTCCAAGAGGCAATGATTTAGTCACATCATGACTCTACACCTGGGGGGACTTAACTACACCCACTTTGACTTAGAACGAGTGTCCTCAGATTCCTTCCAGCAAGATGGAAGTTTGTCGCCAGTATTTTCTGGGTTATGTCTATCCAGGAGCCTCATCTGACCTTGTGCACACCCAGGGTCCCTGTCACATTAAGACAAATGTATGGAACCAAAACATCTCCAGGTCATGTCCCCACAGGCTTCTCATAGCAAATCAGAGGCCAGACCATTGGCCTAAGTCTCTCTGGAGGCTTAAAGTCAGACTAGGATGAAAATCTTGGGGCCTAAATCCTGGTTACTGTCTCCAAAAATAGGTCCTGGGTTGAAAGTCTTCAAGGAAGGGGGGCTCCTCCAGTGCCCTTCACAGTGTTGACACTGAGGCAAGGACTTTCTTACACAATTTCCTGATTGAAACTTCTACCAGCAGACTGTCTGAATCAGTGCTCCTCAAATATTAATGTGCATGTGAATTATCATCATGAAAATGCAGATTCTGATGCAGCAGGTCCAGGGTGGGGCCCGAGATTCTGCATTCTTTATTAGCAGAGATGCCAAAGCTGTGCCAAGGACCTCACTTGGGGGAGCTGGGGACCACAGGCAAGTTTGTCGGGAATGCCATGCCTGAGTGATGCTGTGTGATGGGGTGATTACTGTGGAGGCCAGAGGCCATCTATGCCTTCCCAATCAGACCAGAGATCTCACTGCTAAGACAACACAATGAAAAAGAGGCAATAGATGGCTGTCGACTGTTGATTATGTTTAATTTTTTAAGGGAATTTGCAGAAATGAGAGAGTAGCAGCAGGAAGGAGTCTCTCAGGAGGAACATCTGAGTGGATTTGTGTGCTGATTATTTTAGGAGGAGAAGCTGGAGGAAAGTGTTTGCATATCAGAAGGAGATAATTGCTTCCCATTTAGTTCTTCAGTTTCTCACAAAGTTTTCGAGGAGACTAAGTAATTAGTCCCTTGAGAGGTGGAGGAGAAAAAGTTCTCAGGTTGAAAAGCTGTTTTCCCTGCTGGCCTTAAGGCAGAATCAAAAGTATCTCCCCTCCTTTTGGAGAGGCCCACAAATGAGATTGTGTCCAGTGGCAGTTTAAAAAAAAAAAAAAAAAAAAAAGCCTTATTGGAGGTCAAACTCCCTGGTCATAACCAGAGACGCATGCCTCTGGGTGGCGCACCCCGGATGTTCCCTCTCCCCCACCCTTTACTTCACAGCTGTGGCTTTATGGGGTGGCCCCTACACTGGCCTATCCACACTGCACATAAGGACCAAGACCTCTCCTCTAGATATCCTGTGGGCAGAGCTAGTTTCAGAAGAAGGAAGAAGTTTGCATTTTCTCTTTGTCCTGTTCTACAAATCCCAGCCCAGTCCAGATTCAAGCTGGTACAAGAAATCAGACACTAGAGCTACTCCCACTCCCACAGTCTCGCCCTAACTTCCTAAACCATTCCCAGATTGCCAGGGAAAGTCTTCCCTCCACAACTCCAGTCCCACTCCATTTCTTCCTTTCTCAGCTGGCTTCCACCATCTTTGCTTTACCACCAGGGCCCCTGGTAACCTCCTGTCCAGGCTGCTTCCAGGAAAGCCAACCTCAGAGGGCCCTTCCTCTGGGAGATGGACTTAAGATTCTATAGGAGAAGAGAGGTACTAGCACTTGTAAAGGGGAAGGTAGCCAGTCTGGGAACAATGATCTAGCTTTCCCTTCTTTCTTGAGTGCACAGGAAGGATAATTAGGCCTGGGGCTCTCATGACCTATCTGTGTAAGCGGCTGAGAAAGTGACCCCCAGAGAGTCATTTCTGTTTAAAAGCAAGAGATTTGGAGGGACAGGAGCAGTGGGCAGCCTGGGTGTAAGTACTGCTACTACTTTAGGAGCAATCCCAGAGAAGTGGTCCCAGTGGAAGGCACAAAGTTTCTTCTATTTGGGTGATGCCAACCCTCTCTGCTCTTCTCAGAGAAACTCCCACTTTCAGAACCCTATCCTAGATTCTGAAGCCAGTTCATGAAAAAGAAATACACCCCCCAAAAAAGTTGCAAAGAAATGAAAAAGGAATGTAAACAAAACCATACGGCCAGACTGGGAAGGAGAGATTTTAATAACACATTTTTATAATAAGAGTTATATTTACAGAGTTTTTACTATGTACCAAATCCTGGACTGAGAATTTTATTTGGATAATATCTTTGTTGATATTATCATACTGTTTTCACTCCAAGGCTCCCTCAAAATCACCTATTCCTTGTCTATCTCAGGCTCACAGATACTTGCCTTTGAAGCATTCAGATGGTGTGAGCTCGTTAGCTCTCTGTAGTGAGTGAGCAGACTTCTGTCAGGGTGAGGGAGCAAGAGAGACTGGGAAAAAGGAGGCTGAGGAGCTCCGTTGTGGGCAGTGGAGGGTCCTTACTCTGGTGACTTAATAGGTACTCTTGGGCCTTCTCATCTGTGGACTGCTGCATCTCTGAAGAGGAGCCTTTTGGTCATATCTTCAATGACCTCCTTGACCTTCTCATTCCAGAGGGTGAAGATGAAGAGATTGAGGAAAGGGGTCACTACTGTAGTCATCAGAGCCACCACCTTGTTGAGGTGTGTGGAGTGGCCCTTGCCTGGCCTCAAATAGATGAAGATGTCACTGCCATAGCCCAGAACAACCACAGTGAGGTGGGAGACACAGGTGGAGAAGGCCTTCTGGCACCCAGAGAAGGAGGGGATGTGCAGCACTGCAGCCACAATGAGGATGTAGGACACTATGATGAGCAGCATGGTGGCCAGCACAAACAGTAAGGACGAGAAGAAGTCCGTGCATTCAATGTGGCAGGTATCGGAGCAGGAAAGCTTGAGAAGTGGGGAAGAGTCACACAAGTAGTGGCTGATGATGTTAGGGCCGCAGAACCGTAGCCGTGTTTTCTGCAGGATGGGGGAGATGATGGAGAGGAAGCCGACCACCCAGCAGACCACCACCAGCTTCACACACACTGGACCATTCATGATGGTTGGGTAGTGCAGAGGGCAGCAGATGGCCACATAGCGATTGAAGGCCATGACTGTGAGAATCAGGAAGTTGGTGGAACCCAAAAAGAAGTAAAAGAAAGACTGGGTGAGGCACTCAGGGAAATGGTCTTATGAGTGCATAGCAGGTCTGCCAGCATCCTAGGAACAACAGTGGAAGTGACCAGCATCTCCATGAAGGAGAAGTTGCAGAGGAAGAAGTACATGGGTGAGTGGAGGCGGGAATCAAGTCATGTGAGGATGATAATGGCCAGGTTCCCCAGTACTGTCAGCACATATATCAATAGGATGAATGCAAACAGGAGGATCTGGAATTCATGGAGATGTGAAAATCCCAGCAGCACAAATTCCCTGACGACACTGAAGTTACTCATTGCACTTGATGCCAGTTCTCTGTACTACCTGTGAGAAGCCAGGAAATCTTAGTGGGAAGTTTCCATCAACCCCTGTCTTGACTATACTCCGTGATGGCTGCTGGCCTGGCTCCCCAGGCATACTAACCTGTATGCATGGTAAATCCCAGAATCTAGGAGTTGGACACCTCCACAATATCAACACTCCTAAACTCTTCCTCTATTGTATTCCATCGCTCATCATTCCATTCAATGCATTTGTTAAGCTCCAACTCTGTATAAGAGATTTGGTGGGTCTGAAAAATACTTCCTAACTCCTATATTTAATGATCATTCCATCATAATAATACTTGCTATTAGCTGAGTTCTTTCCATGTGCCCAGAATTGTGCTAGGTACCTCATACATTACTTCTCTTCATCTTTTGCGCTCTATCATCTTTCTTGTGGTCTCTGTAACATTTTAGGCTACAGATAACCCATTTTTGAAATTGTTTCCACCCTTGACTACAAGGACCTCCAAGTTCTCCAACAGCTCTGACTTTTCCTTGTCTGACTCCTGGTCTTCCTAAATATGGATGTCACCACATTTCTCATTCTTCTTTTATCTATTCTCTCCTTTAGAAATCTTGCTTCTTGAGCAATCTTGAAAATGTAAATGAATCTCAAATCTGCATTCTTGTTCTCAACCCCCGCCTCTGATTGCCTGCTGACCACCACAATGTACTCACCATGTGTAAAAATATGCACATAATCCTCCCCTCCTCCAAAGCCAACATCATGTTCATGGTTCCCCAACTCCCCAGTCATCCAGGCTTGTCACCTGGAAGGGATCAATAGTTTTTGGGTTTTCCCTTCCTTCTTCTAAAACAGTTGAACCACCATCCTTAGAAATAATTTTTAAACTACACACCTTTCTTTTTTCCATAGCCCCCAAGTTCAAGAATTTGTCTTCTCTTAATCATTGCAACAACATTCTTTTCTTTGGTGGGGAGGGGCAGAGGGACAGGGAGAGAGACCATATGAAGCAAGCTCCACACCCAACGCAGAGCCAGATACAGAGCTCAGTCTCACAATCCTGAGATCACAGCCTGAGCTGAAATCAAGGGTCGGATGCTTAACCACCTGAGCCACCCAGGCACCCCTGCAACAGCATTCTCAATGGCTTTCATATTTGTAGCTTTCTCTATGTCCCACCTACACATACACTACTGTTATATTTATGTTTCTAAAGTGTTATTGCACAAGATTTTTTTAATAATCTGAGGTAATGTAATTTCATTTATGCATTACTCTCAAAATCAATTAATCAAACTAGCTAGCCACCTACCTCCATATAGAAAAAGGCTACCAGGATGTATTTTCAATTATTAACAGTGGCTATCTTGAATGTGGATTATAGGCAGTTCAATGTATATCTATATTAATATCAATCTTTATCTGTTTGTTTTCCAAATTCTTTTCCTTTAAATGTGTATTTCTTCAATGACCAGAAAGAAAAAAAAAACTTTTTAAAACACCAACATCTCTTCCTTCTCTTGTCTGCTAAGTCAAGAACATACCCACCCTGGAAAGCCCAGCCTTGCACAGCTTTACCCACCTACCCCTCCAGCCTTACCCTCACTTCTTTCTTGCCACATACTTCATGCTATCACGAGACTGGACCACTTGCTGTTCTCCAAATGTTAATTCCACCCTGCTTTGACAAACTTTTCTTTATTGTTCTCTATGCTTGGAATACCCTGTCCTGCCTTCTTCACCTGACAAATTCTTGCCTACCCCCTTCAGGGCCTGTCTAAAATGTCCCTCCTTTATGAAGCTTCATCCCCCATTCAGATGTGAACTCATTCTTCCTGGAATTCCCAACTGGGGAAATTAGCGTGTCTGCCTTGCATTTTAGTTATCCTTGCGCCAGCCTTATTCCAAACACTTGTTTCTTAGTGGCAGGGCTCTTTTCGTTGTTACAGCCTCACAATACCTAGCAACATCTTACACAATGTAAGTACTTACTAAATTTTAATTAAACAAATAAATGACTACATCTATTAAGTTTTCATTCCTAGTCCCAAGAAAAAAAGTTTGCCCAATGCAAACACATTTTCTTTAAATGATTATTTGTCTGTGCGCATTGTGGGCTTTAGCAAGGTAATGAGGCAATCATGACCTGACAATTTCTTATCAGAAAGGTAAGATGAAACCAGATGTGTTTCAGAATCCAGTCCCAGAGGGTGTGGGCAGCACCCTCTAATCAAATACAGTACTATTTCTCCAGCAAAATACATGAATATTCACACCTAATGGAAGAGATAGAGGCTATAAATAGCCCCACATTGGTAAGTTCAGATCAGATCTAGCTGCCTAGTTAGTTCAACAGAAAATTAGAAAAGAACTTTCAGTTGTCAAAGCATTTTTGATACAGCCTTCTGGATATGGAGTGGTGAATGGGGAGACCGCACTCACTGAGTGCTACCATGCACTGGTTTCTGGGCCACGACAAGGCTGTGAGATGGTGACCATCTCCACATCACAGGTGATAAAAACTGAGGCTCGGGATATTTAAAGATCTCAATCCTAAGTCATGCCCTTCATAAATGTACATCTGGGATTTGAACCCAGAATTTTCTAACTCCAATACCTATTTGTAAATTCAACCCATGGGCCTATTCTGCTTTATTCACCATCACTGCCACTTGAAGAGCAGCATATTTCTTACCTTACAGATGTCTGTGACATAGCATCCGGAAGTTCTACAGTTTAAAACACTTGAAGTCCTGGAATCAGAGGTGAAAGGGTTGATTCAGGGTGACTCTGGAGTCAGGAATACTCCATTCAGTGCAGCAGGCTTTGCTCTACCCCTTGCTAGCTGAAGTCCTTTGCAAATGAGCTTCCAGGACAGCCCCCATTATTATACCCTCCCCCAACCCATTTTGCCTTCCTCCCCGCAACCTCTCTCCAGCCTACTAGACGTTTCACCTTAGAATTTTCTCTTCCTATTCAAGATCTTGCCTACCGCCGCCCCTCAGCTTGGATGACTGGTGCCCTCCTATTTGTCCCTCATGCACTACCATCCCCTTCATGTTGCTTCCAGACTCTGGGACACCACTCCCCCATTTCCAACTCAGCCACCTGGCCTACAGCTCAGGACAGACCCCTGGAGTATGTTTTTGAACCTTATGTACTTACCGAATAATTTTACATTCCAAGTTTTTGTCAAAACTGATTGCTTAATACAGGCAAAAATTAACATAGGTAAAGCTCAACATGAATGTACAACTAGATTTCCTCTGTATCAGGGTCTCCTACAGAGCAGATTTTCCTCAGTGCAGCCTCTGCAGTACCTCCTGGAGCATCCTGCTTCCTCCCTCGCTACAGAACACATCCTCTCTCAGGCCCAGGGTCCCTGCATCCCCTTGGTGCAGGAAAACTCAGCTTATCCAATCAGGAGACAATGTGGTGCCCCATCAAAACAGGCCAAGGGCAGCCTTAGCTATCACAAGGTAGACTGGCCAATGCTTTGGTTGGCCATTTAGCACATGCTTTGGACTGGGCTAACATTATCTGTACTTGATAGTCTGGACTCCCTGGTATGTTCTCCGTTTCCCTCACACATTCCTGGTAAACATCCTTTCTGGTAAGAGATCCTGTTCATTTCTATCCAAATCCTTCATGTTGTATGTTCTGTTGTTCAGATCTCTGTTACAGTATCAACTAGCAGAGAGCTCACTTGTCCCTGTATAACAGCCCTCTAGAGACTTGGAACCCATTTGAAAGCCTCCTCCTTGTTATGCATCTTACTGTCTCACCACATCAACCCTCTCAATTCTTCTGACTAAATTATCCCTGTGCTCTTTGACTTTTGAAACAACTTTCCTACCCCGGAAATAACTCTTTTTAATAATTGGGAATGCAGAGGGGTTAGCAGTACCATCACCATGATTGTTTGTAGGAGTGTTTGGTCACCAGTGTCCTGGGACATGCCGACCTTCTCAAGTGAATGAAAGAGCAAGGGCCAGGAATGGAACAGAGGGGTGAGCAGGGAAAGTAACTGAGTATCCCCTTATGGTCCACAGGCCACCTGCAAGGGCAGGTGACAGAGGGAGGACACAGAGTAAACTGCCCATTGTGGCAAGCAGACCAGTAGGCAGCAAGAATTTAAGGCTCAAAAAGAAGACAGAGATGCATCAAGAAGGAACCTAGACAGAGCTTCTCTTGAACTTGGGTCTCTTAGGGAGGGGCAGGAGTGGAGTGGGACAGAAGACCACTAGGTCTTTCCCAAGAGGGAGAACAGAATGGGACCAATGGAGGGAGAGGAGACCTGTCATGAGATTCATTGCTGCATCCAAATCAGCAATAGCACAGTGAGCAAGAGGACACAGGCAGTCATTCATCCATTCACTTACTCATTCAGGAAAATATGATTAACAGCACCAGATACCATTGGTGTTCAAGGGATACAGTGGTGAACAAAACAGGTGAACAAAAATGCAACAAAACTTGCATTACGGCCAAGTTGGAAAAAGTAAATAAGTTTAAAATGACAAACCATGACAAATGCTGTGAAGGCAATGAAAGGACTGTGAAAGAGACTGAGGGGAAGGTAGGAAATTACTAGTGATAGGTCCCATCCTGCCACCCAGGTTCAGATGCAGGACCAGGAGGAGTAGGTGGCACCCACTGGACAACAAGGCAAGTATAATGTGTTGAATAGAGCCAAGAGGTCACTCTAAAACTGCAGGCACAGTTTCCAAACCTCGGACCTCTGGAGCAGTCCACAGTAAACAAAGATAACACAACACCAGCATGGAGACACTCCACCCTACCTGGGCCCCTCCCTGTATCCCCTTCCTCCTGCTCTTTAGGTACTACTGGTGGACCACCTGAAACCAAAAGCCTCCAGTTCTCAGTACTGATGGTGTGCTGCAGCAGGATTGAATAGGAGCATGACAGCGGT